GAGCTTAATGTTAACTCTAAGAGGATGTCTACGACAAAGTTGAACAAGAATGGAGAGAGTGGACAGCCCTGACGGACACCACTTGATGTAGAGAATTCAGATGACAGTCCGCCATAAGCTCTCACCCGACCAGTGGTGTTCGAGTAGAGTGCTTGTATAAGGTTAATGTACTTCTTTGGTACACCTTTCAATGACAGACACTGCCACAGAACCTCACGATCCACTGAGTCAAATGCCGCCTTAAGGTCCAGGAACACGACTATTGTCGGACGTCTAAATGTGTGTCTGTGTTCCAGGACCTGTCGTAGTGTGAAGATGTGGTCTATACAACCACGTCCAGGTCGAAAACCAGCCTGGTTTTCTCGAGTCTGCTCTTCGCGAGCTCTAGTTAGACGTCTAAGTATAATCGAGGCTAACAATTTAGAAACTATATTAGTTAAACTTATTCCCCTGTGATTGTCACAAGAGGACTTCTGTCCTTTCTTGTAGATTGGGACAATTAGCGACTGAGACCAGTCAGATGGGATTACGTCCATTTCCCAGATTCTACCTAGGATCTCGGTCAGTTTAACCGTTAAAACTGGACCACCATCCTTAAACATCTCAGGGGTGAGCCTATCGGGACCTGCCGCTCTACCTCTCCTTAGATTTCCTATAGCTTTCTCAACTTCATTTAAACTGGGAGGACTTAAATTGATTTGCCATTCAGGATGACTGGAGATCGTGGGCAACCGAAGAGTGGCTGAAGGCCAGTTGAACTGATCCCTAAAGTGTTCTGCCCATCGGTCCAGCCTCCTAGATTGAGAATGGATAATAAGACCATCCTTTTCCGAGATAGTCTCACTTACATTCGGGTTCCTAATACCGGTTTCTTTGATAAGGCGGAAAAGTTGTCTAGTGTTGCCTATCGCCGCTGCCTTTTCCATCGCTTTTGCTTTCGCCACCCACCACTGTTCACGGTCGTTACGTAGGCTTTTTATAAGTCTGCACCTAAGCTGACTACGCTCTTCATCATGTTCAGAGTCAGGTGGGATGCGTTTTCGAGCATCCATCAGTTCGGTGGATGCGACTGAAATCCACGGCTTCATCCTAGCCTCGTGGTTTACCTTGCTAGCAGATACCATTGCTGTTTCCACAGCCTTCTTGATATGATTCCAACCTGCTTCAGGATGGGAATCACTCTCATGGCCGCCTAACTGTTTTTCTAATTCCTCCTGAAATATTTTCTTAGCTTGATTATCATCAAGTAAAGCCCTAAGAGGCTTCCTTACGGTGTCTTTCCTACGTCCAGCAAGCCTCAAACAAATACGTGCTCGCACTAGGGCATGATCTGAATCTAAACATGTGCCCCAGAACGAGCGACAGTCCTCTATCGAACCGCTCCATCGGTGGCTGATGGCGATATGATCTAGTGGTTTGTCCAACGTTGAGACGACTTCGGGGGTCGCCAGGTCAAAAGGTGTTTTTCCTTATGCTTAAAATTAGTGTTTGCTAGAAATAGTTGGTTATCTGAGTATAGTTGCAACAGACGGTCGCCATCGTCTGTTCTTTGAGCCGCGAGACCGTAACATCCACCTAGGTGTCTTTCATTTTCACTTAGTCTACCTACTTGTGCATTGAAGTCACCAGCCATTATAACTATATCAGAGCGCCTAACTTTTTGGAGGAGGTCCGAAAGCTTTCTGTAAAACTCATCTTTTACATCATCTGGGCTGCAGTCAGTGGGGGCGTAGGCTGATATGACGAAGAGGCAACGGCGAGTGTCCCTATCTTTCCGAGTCCTTACTGTCCCGTTCAGTCTCACAGCGCACAAGCGACTATCTACAGGGATCCAGTCAAGGAGAGATTGTTCTGCCCTACGACTCAATGCTATACCTACACCGGCGAGGCCCCTAGAAGCAGCATCAGGGCTACCGGATACACGAAGAGTAAATCGAGCTGCTTCTTTATCTTGACATAGTGAGGTCAAATGAGTGATGCTACTCGGATCCTGTATGCGCGTTTCCGAGACGCAGCACACATCGATGGAACGAGATTCTAAAGTCCTAGCTAAGGAAGCCTGTTGCCCTATTTGACACAATGTACGTACATTAAAAGCCCCAACATGTAGTTTGGAACGGGGTTTAAGGAGACCAGGAACGACGTTTCGCAAACTCGCATCGTTTGCATTAGATGTGCACTGTAATAAATGAATGTGAGAAGAGTTAGTTGTGGAGATAAGAGAGGTATTAGGGAATGTAGGAAGGATTTGATTTTGAACAATTTTGTCTCGTGTGCTGTTATGGGTATGAGGGCGGTTATCACTTCCCGGCTGCCCACACCGTGGAAGGTTGTTTCTTGACGAACCTGAAAAGGAAGATGGATTAGTGTTGGTGCGTGACCGCAGAGTCCAAGGGACAACTGCTTGAGGCCGGTCACGCACGGCCTTTTTATGAAATGTTTTTTGAGGATTAGCTCCGTTCTTAAAGGCCCTTAGTGGGCACCCTTACCCAAGGAGACGGAAATCCGTGAGTTAGGGGAGGTGTGACATTTTTAGGGCCGACCTTTTCTAACCCTTCCTTCCTTGTGAGAAGGCAGCATCGCTGCAGATGCTGGTTGTCCGAGGGAAACACCATACTTCTGTCACACCGCTCTGCAGTCAGCAGTACGACTTCTCCCTCAGACCTTGGGTAGCTGCTTTTAGTCTCATCGTTCTCGAATCGACCTGCCTGGCATGGTAGGACCTGCAGGAACATGTGTTCCAGCCAGTATAGCTCGGTTGGGTCATCACGATAGGCAAGCCCGACCACCACGTCAAGGTAGCAGCTTCGGTCGGGAGTGTGATAAAGTAATGTGAGGAGAGTTAGTCGTGGAGATAGAGAAGTATTAGGTGTGGGAAGGATTTGATTTTGACCAATTTGGTCTCGTGCGCTGTTAATGGTATGAAGGCGGTTGTCACTTCCCGGCTGCCCACACAGTGGAAGGTTGTTTCTTGAGGAACCTGAAGAGGAAAGTAGATCATCGTTGGTCCTAACGACATGGGAACGTGACCGCAGAGCCCAAGGGACAACTGCTTGAGGTCGGTCACGTACGGCCTTTTTTTGAGAAGCTTTTTGAATGTTAGCTCGTCTCTTGAAAGCCCTTAGTGGTCACCCTTACCGCCGGAGACGGAAATCCGTGAGGTAGGGTGAGGTGTGACATTTTTAGGGTCGACCTTTTCTAACCATTCCTTCCTTGTGAGATAGCAGCATCGTTGCAGATGCTGGTTGTCCGAGGGAAACACCATACTTCTGTCACACCGCTCTGCAGTCAGCAGTACGACTTCTCCCTCAGACCTTGAGTAGCTGCTTTTAGTCTCATCGTTCTCGAATCGACCTGCCTGGCATATGTTCCAGCCAATATATCTTGGTTGGATCATCACAATATGCAAGCCCGACCACCATGTCAAGGTAGCAGCTTTTTTTAGTTTGTAATGCATGCAAATTAAAAAAATAATTTCAAAACCCAAGTTTAAGGGGAAGTGAGTGAATTTGAGCCACTGATTGATCCTGAGTCATATCTCTGTACGTCAACTACCTATGGCGCGGACCACAATCAAGTACTACTAATTACAACAGTCACTGATTTTATTGACTGTTTCCATGTGTTGATTTGGATGATATTAGTTTTCTTACAGTTTATCACTAAACGAGCTAGCTTTGCTAGCCTAGGTGGTGGTTGGCTATACATAAAACATGATCATTACAAAATAAGCTTTTGAGGCATACTATCCTTCGGTGTTGATAGCATCACCATTTGACCTGAGATGTAAAACTAATATTTATTTACCGTGAAATTCAGTAGAACTTGGAGAAAACACCCACAGCACATCATATAAATGTGCTATAATTTTTAATTCTTTGCAATTATGTCAGTCAAGTAAATATCTACACGACTTAGTGCTTTACTGTTCTACCGAATTATAGCTGAGTATCTCTAACGTGTTTGCATCAGTATATATTTGTGCAGGTTCTTTCATCATCACCATAGTCTTTAGTTGGTGGATTGGTGTATTTAACTTTTGAACTCTTGGGTCGTAGGTTCGAACTTCCTGATCAACCTACCTTTGTTTGAACAATCGGGGAGTATCACTTGGCCCTACATCTAAAGCGTGGACCAACTTTAATATGATTAGGCTGTTACATTCTGGTACCCCAAAAGTGCTCCACACAAAGTAGTGTAATGATACTCTCTTCTGTAACCATCAGGGTGCTGTATGCAATAGTCTCTAGTTTATGTGTAATCGACATACAGTTCAGTCAGTCAGTCAGATGCAACGTAGAACTTCGTACGTAAGTACATCAGTTCATGTCGCCATACCACATCAGCACAGAGATATAATTGTCAATTCAAATCCAATAGTAGAAGAGGTAGTAAAGGTATTAGGAGTAATCGGAGAGGTTAGGATTAGAAGATATTATTCAAGAAGTATGATTTAATGAGAAAAGTTTAGAGAGTCGAAACTAGAGGTGTTGAAGAATCCAGAAGATTAGGATTTGAGAGAACACAAAGAATAAATGCACCGGCGCCATTGCGAACGATTTTGAGCCATGTCATTCAAGGTCTCTAACCATCGATTATTATCATGTCGCGGACCCCAACCAGGTAGTCGACAGTTACCTACATGGCTAAGTCCACTAGTCAATGACTTCATGGATTTCTGCCATGTTTTGGTTTGACCGCCCCTAACTTTCTTCCAACCTACTCCTGCACTACAAAACAAAGCTCGACGAGGCAGTCGGTGGTTGGGCATACGCAACACATGTCCCAACCACCTCAACTAATGAAGTTTCATTACCACATCTATTGATCTGCCATTCTTACCTAGCACCCGATTCCTAATAACAGCGTTATTAGGAATCGGGTGCTAGGACATACAGTTCACTGTTTTTTTTATCGAAAGTTAGTATTCTTGATTCACTCAGATAGTTTTCTTATTAATTTGCATTAATCTTATGGTTTTTCATTCATTTTATTCGCAGATTGCATGAACTGGAGTGTAATTTTCATAATTTAGTACAAGAGTCTCACTTAAATATTTGGCTAGAAAATGATTCCATAAGAATGCATTTAGGAAAGTCAGCTGTTCTAAGTGAAAATGAACACAAACGTATTCCGAATGATATTCGTGCATCCATCTTTGTTTATTGGCGATTAAAAAGGCGTGCTAACTTTAACCAACCACTGGTAAATCCAATTCCACTAACATGGAAAGAAAGTGCCGACGAAGTAGCTGCTACAACCAAAGAAGAACTAGCCCGAGTAGAACGTGCTAATTCTGATATGAAAGCTTTTGAATCATTCAAACGCATTAGATTTGGTCTTGACAGAGCTAGATTAATGACAGATATGGTCTTGCAAAGGGAACGACGAAAGTTAGCTTTGTTCAAAAGAATGTGGCGTATATCTGAAATTCAATTGTCTGCACTTGGTAAACAAAACAGTCCAATACCTAGCGAATTACTCCGGAATGCTCATATCGGTGAATCTGTATATGATAATTGGGAATTATTTTTAGCCTATAACAATCCTTCCCGTCAATGTGATCAGAGTAAACACATGTCCTACACTAATCAGTCAAATAGTGAATCAAAATCTTCGTCTGTCTGTCTTGTTAATGAAAACAACACTGATTCGTTACAGACTTCTCTACCTAGTACAACTATAAACGAAAATACTGATTCATTCAATATTAATACCATTCCTAAAAAATATCTAATTGTTTCTGATACAATCAAGCAACGACTTCGTTCTGCATTAACACTTGTAGCAGAAAATTGTAATATGTGGAGAGCAGACAGACATATTGTAAGTCCAAATCATAAACGTAAAACAACGACTAACCATTATATTAAATCACATAAATCTCTTTCACTTAATCGATTTGAACATTCACCTTCAAAATCTCATTGTTCTTCACCGTTATCATCATCAACTAAATTAAATAAACCATTAGAAAATGATATGCCTATTGTTCAAGTACAATTATCACCAATTCCAGATAGATCACCACTTATTGGTGTTAAAAATGTCAATAATAATACCACCACCAATGAATGTATACCGGCTAAAAAACGAAAACAAATGAACAATTCTAGTTCAGTATTTGAACAATCACCACCTAGTCATTCTATTCCTGTTCTGACTAAATTAGCAATGATTACTTTATCACCTGGAGCTGCTAAATTCTTGTAATCTTGTTTTCTTTTACATCGAATTCCTAGCTATGTCATTTCTATTTTACATTGTATATAATAAAATTGTATAATTGTGTATTATATGATGAAAAAAAAAATGTCATTGAAAATAAATATCACCTCTAAATTAATATTTTATGTACAGAATTGCATCTATTTTCTTTGATTATTATTATTATTATTATTTGCCTTCTGTTAAACTAACTGGTTTTATTGTTTGATGTAAGATGATGATGACATTTTGTATAGTAATCTCTTGTATAATTTTTTTTTCTTTTTTCAACATACATTATCATGCTAATATTTTATTATTTCTTTATTTTCCATATATATATATATATATGTTGTTTATGAAATAAATATTTTGTTACACATCAGTTTTGATACCCAGAAATCATAATAATAAAGGGTTTGTAACATTATTTTTATTTTGTTTTCAAGCTATATCTTGTGTGTTCCAGTTATTCAAACTTACTTTTAAGTGTTTTGGAAAATTTAACATTTTAAGAATATGATCAATTTTCCCTTCGTTTATGAATAGTATAGTAGTTTTGTGCTGTGAGCTACTTATAAGTAGTATATGATGTGAGTGAAAACGTAATGTCTGGCAGCAGAAGATGGGGGAAGATCAAAAAAGGAAGAGTTAGAAAACAATGGAATTTGTATGAAACACATGAACAGTGACAATGGATTGATGTTTTGCAACAGGAACAGTCCAGTTCGATATAATGAACTGATATTTTGCAAATTAACTAACGATTTATGATATCGTTTTCCTATTTTACTGAGTAACACTGTAATTTTCGTTAAATACAATTCGGTTGCCCCACCTGTGTGCTCGTTCACTATAGTTTAATGCTGTTCCAAATTAGAGTACACTTATGGTTAGGTCTTTTTGATTGCTAACCAATATATATCATATGATAAGCTACTAGTCGAAATCCGGATTGTAAATTGATGTTTTTTTTGTTCGCTATTTATTCTATGGCTTAGTGTTTCTGGTTTGGTCAATTATGTACGTTCGCCGAGTATTTGTAACCTTGAGTTAGTAGATAAGTTTCTATTGGGTAACAATTCTCGAGTTTCTCTCTACCCTGCTCTAGAACCCATAAGACAACGACCAGCCTCTACAACTTTGTTGTATTCTAAACACGTAGTTTACGTACAAGCAGACCATACTATAGAAAAATTGCACACGAACAAGCTCAAAGTGGTTATGAATGGATGAAACGAAGTAACAAACTGGTAACAGATATGGTAGCATAGGCCGTACACTAGTGTACAATATTACTCAACTCATTTGATTACCTTTCCACACTATACATTTGATCCTCTTCTAGTCAATAGTTCCACTTTTAACTAACCGAACTTCAGTTATTTCTGCATATCATTAACTTTTAACAATTAAGATCCGGCTTATTTTTAGCCTGTGCTACTATCAATGTCTTTCATGTGTCTAAGACATTTGATCTAATCTTTTGACTTTATTTAGGCAGTCTATACCACAAACGTTTGAGACAAAATGGTAAGCATCTATCAATTTCTGTTGTAGATAATGGCTACACTGAAGATTGTTCAAGTACTTAGGAAGTATCACTGAAGTGGTGTCGTTTGTTTAAATCCACTTCCAAGTACAAAAAGTTTGTGTTCTATTATTTTTATTCTTAATGGCCTATGTTTTCTTTATTATGAATATTAACGGATACTAATGTCCTTGTTGACGATTCTGGAAATACCTGACAAACACGGTTAACACAAATTGATCATACTGACTTCAACATTTAGGTTCTTAAGTCATCCACACAAACAGTAACAGTGGATTTCTCATGGTATTCAAAACTGTTCTCTCGTACTTATCAGTCAAGATTTCGGAAATAGGTTTCGTTGCATACTATCTGTAATCGTATTCTTTAAAATATCCAGTTACCTACTATCTTATTCGTTCTTCTCATTGCCAACAGAAGTATAGTATAGTCAGGAGCCCCAAATATCCTGATAAGACTAACGATAGAGTCCGCTCTCCCACCCAAACGGCTAGGTGATTTTAACCTATTAGGGGTCTCATGTAATGCTTTAATGAGGGAGTAAGTCTACCCAGTCACCGAATATATGCGACTCAGTACCACTGTGTTGTAGTCAAACGTTAAGGGAGTGGTGTCCTAAGGAAAATCACTTGCTTCGGTTTAGGAACTATGGACAGCATTTTCTAGTAATCATGTTCTAATTTACGCACATTTTGATTATCTCACCCTCTTCGGTTATTTTTTAAACATTTTCTCTTTAACAGTTTTAAAAAATGAGACATTTGATAGATAAACGTCATATGATTAGTTAATTGCACTTACTCCTATAATTGCGTAATTTTACTTATGTACGCGTATAAGTTTTGTCTTGCATTAGATTTAAATACCATAATTTTCGTTCAGAGGGTTTTATGTACTGACTTGTATTTATATATTTAAACACGAAAATTGGTATGAAATATATGTGCAACACGAATCATTGAATTTGTGTGTGGACCGATATACTGCCCAGCTACCCAAAGCGAGAGTGGTCTTCTTAGGGGCCACAAGACAGTGAAACAACGTTAGATGTGGTTCCATGGGAGTCAGTGACCAAAAACAGGTTCGCACACCGTTTATTCCCTCAGGATCACGGGATCCACACACATCATTGGTTTGGAATCAGGATTTCCCAACTTCCCTAAGTGAATCCCCCATACCCACCAACCCGGTTAAAGTGTCGGATATTTGCATTTCGTTCTTTTAATGTCGTCAAAAACCCCAGCAACGAGAAAGCAGTGAATAGGACTTCCTTGATAACGGTTATATACGCATGGCCATATGACAGCAGTTCGAGAGGGAGAGAGGGTTTTCTCTTGTTAGTTGTACCAGGGAATTTGGGGGCCCATTTATGCTGATAAACATTTACCCATACCAGTTATCCCTGGTTTGTCTATTTGATAGCTCTGTTTGAGGACAAGTTTGTTTAGAGCATGCCTTATCTAACAAAATTTTTTGTTTCAACTTAATTGTTGACACTGTATATAAACGCAACCCCTAAGGTGTTGAGGCCAATTAACTGTACGAAGTTAAACTAGGAAGTGATGATAGCAGGTACCTAACAAACATATACTAAGCAATTTACCAACAATCTCAGTTTATGTATATATGAAAAAAAAAGTATAGTATATTAAATATTTCTAAGTCAGTTCACTGTTGTGAGTCATTGATCTACGGGGAAAACATCCCGTATAATGAACCTACATTGTACATTGAGTCGGAAAAGAAATGAGCTTGTTGAATTACAGAATACATTGATTAAACAAAAGAACAAAAATACTAGGCTTTCATAACACGTTCAAGTTCTGAAACACATTCTCTGACTAAAATCCGAGCAGTGTGAATATTTTTCTTCAGTCTTTCTGCAGCATTTTTGTTGTTGGCGTAGGTTGGTTTAATATCTCGTCCCATTTCTTCAATAACTTGTAATAAATGAGCATACTTATTTAAATCATCCATTGGGGGCATCATCGGGTAATTGACTGGGATGCTCGTATTTTGTGTCATTCTAGATAATAAAGAAATCAATAGAACGTAAATCATGAGATAAAACCTGATTTGTTAAAGAATGTTTTATAACACAATATATCCAAATGATTCCATTTAATACGACACAGGGCCATAAGTGTACTTTCTGAATACGCTAGCATTATTTTCGCTGTAATATAAAATATATGTATTTGGTTTCGACTATCGACTATCATGTATAAAGTATATGCTGACACAATGTCGCCGGTGCGGAGTTATGTCGCCCAACGATTATCACAAAGACTAGAACTAACCTATGGGGCTTACACCAGTAATCAGTGGCTTTTAGGGCTAATCCCGACCGTAGCTGCTACCTTGACGTGGTAGTCGGGCTTGCCTATCAAGATGACCCAACCGAGATATATTGGCTACAACATATCTTCCTGAGGGTTCTACAATGCCAAGCAGGTCGATTGGAGAACGATGAGACTAAAAGCAGCTACTCAAGGTCTGAGGGCGAAGTCGTACTGCTGACTGCAGAGGGGTGTGACAGCAGTAAGGTGTTTCCCTCGGACGACCAGCATCTGCAACGATGCTGCTTTCTCACAAGGAAGGAAGGGTTAGAAAGGTCGACCCTAAAAACGTCACACCCCACCCTACCTCATGGATTTTCGTCTCCGGTGGTAGGGGACGCCCACTAAGGGCTTAAAAAGAGGGGAGCTAATACTCGAAAACCTTTCATATAGGAGAACGCAGCAGTCCGCTCTGTTCTCCTATATGGATGCGAAACATGGCCGATGACAGTAGATATTCGTAGGTTACTAGTATTCGATCACAGATTTCTTAGAAGCATTGCTCGTGTATTCTGGGACAACCGAGTAAGCAATGCTGTCGCTAGGAAACGAGTACTAGGTAAGGATGGCAGAACAATAGATGAAGTGGTGAAACTTCATCAGTTGAGGTGGTTGGGACATGTGTTACCAATGCCCAACCACCGACTGCCTCGACGAGCTATGTTTTGTGGTGTAGGAGTAGGTTGGAAGAAAGCTAGGGGTGGCCAAACCAAAACATGGCAGATACCCATGAAGTCACTGACAACTGAACTGAGTCATGTTGGTAGATGTAGACTACCTGGTTGGGGTCTGCGAGACGATACTAACCGATGACTAGAGATCTCGAACAACATGGCTCGAAATCGTTTGCAATGGCGCAGGTGCATCCACTCTTTGTGTCCTCTCAAATCCTAATCTTCTGGATTCGTCAACACCTCTAGTTTTGACTTTCTAAACTTATCTCACTGAATTATACTTCTTGAATAATATCTTCAAATCCTAATCTTCCCCATTAGCAGTAATTCTTCTACTATCTCCTCCACTATGGGATTTGAACTGACAGTTGCGTTTCTGTGCTAATGCGGTATGGCAACATGAACTGCTGTACTTACGTACAAAGTTCTACGTTGAAAGTGACTGATGACTGACTTAAGGGCCAATACTGACTTTCGGCTTGGCAACCACTAAATTCCTTTTAAACCAACCTTGCTTCTACTGTCTTATGCATCTGGGTGGACATGAATGACGTCTCGCAAACAACTTTCAATGAAAATTTAGAAGACCAAACAACTTATTAATTTGATATTTTCTTGGCGCTGTGATGAGGCGGTATGACGACTTACCGAGATGTATGGGTATTACGGATCAGAAGGAAGGCAAAAAATAGCAACTAATAATTACGAGTAAAATTTGGAAGGAGGCAAAGAATAAATACAAGTGAACCCTATTGTTTGATTTCATACAGGACTATAATAATGGAAATGTGGTTTGGAACGCGATTCCAGAAGACGGAATAACGCTTCCTCAAATCGAATGGTTAGGACTAGTGATATATGCGAGATATCAAGGCACTGAAGAGAGTTCGTTTGGAAGCACAGAAATCATAGATTCTCCTCAAAAGGTTAAGTGACAAATAAGATTATTTTAATAAATTATAACAATAATAATATGGATCACCTACTAAGCGCAAGTTTATCTATTGGTCTTTCAATTACATTCTTTGTGAATGAGTAAAACTACCCAACTATTAATGCAGGGAGTAAAATGGGGTCGGAACTTCGAGCCTACTAGTTGAAAGCAGTGACCCAGCCATTAAGTCGCTTTGTGAGATGAGTGGGTTTTCGCCTCACTGGAATAGAAACTTAGGTAAAGGTTTAGTTGGCCACAGAACCAAAAGAATAGTTGCTCAAGTTGTATCACCGGCACTGAAAATCCAAGAATGTTGAAGAATCATTTATACGGTAACACTAACCCGTTTCATTGTGAGGATAAACCACTGGAAGTATCCTACACATTCATTAAATGTTATCTTTGGGAGGCCGAATGGATAGAGCAAACCAGGAGTGTGCATTACGATTGCGTCTAAATCAAGTAATAGTGCAGAAAACCTTAATCCTCTAACTAAATAGACCTTTAATTTTACTGTAAAATATCTTTACAAATATGAAGCATAATACAAATGTTAGGACGAAGTTTCATAAGAAATATCTCTATGAACGTTCTCGATAAGGTTGATTATGTACCTCATAATGGCGATAAGCAACATGATTTGGAGCGACTGATAGGCAGACTCTTGGCGAACCCGGTCACAAGTACCTGCACTTGTTACTGGTGAGGTGTTTGGTGATTATTACAGTACATATGTTCGATGAATATATATGCAATGAGCTAATTACAGTTAGTTGGTTTGTGGTATTCGGGTTTTGAAGGTGGGAGACCATTGAGCGTTTTTATGAAGTCCACTGAGATTGATTGAATCACTTGGTCCCAATAAACCTTGGTCAATAGATAAGTAACTGAGGATTGATGTATACGTAACCTACATGAATACGATCTGAACGGTTATAGTCATACCGTTGTAAATGGAGATATAAATATGCACTTTGGTGACCAGCTATTTTTCTCGTTTCCCTGAGACCAAGTGACTAGATTAACTGCAGTGGATATTATTAAAGACCAGTAATAGTCTACCGAGGAAGAATGACCAACATTCATGTAGTTATTCTACTAATGAAAGCGTTGTGAACTATAAGGCGTAAAACCAGGTGGAAAATTTGTTTATCAGACAGAAATTTTATAAATATACAATTTAAAACCGATAAAACCATCCAAAATCAAGCAAAATAAATACATATCAAACCTTAAAAAATTTGAAAACCCTCCACTATCCAATATCCAATCCCTACATCACAAGCCTATCTAAGTCGATTAATTTGTTCATTCTCACTCCTTGTTGTTTCGGTGAGGTTCTAGGTATTCGTTAATTTCGAACGAGTAGAAGTCTAGCCGCTCAACTGTTCCATTGCCAGTCAGTTTGGTAACAATAAAGTATAGGTATAACTTTTAAGTTGAGTAAGTGCATCTGTTTCAATACAGTAGGGTTTCTGGTTACCAGTAGCTATCACATTACCAGGTAGGAAGTTAGTTGCCTGAAATGTAGATTATGATAAAGAGAAAATTCTAGTGCCAAGGAAAAGACTTATGCTTCAATAAGTAAATGTTTGTGGACGGGACAAAAGGAGCCTGTGCTACCGTACAGTTAAGAACCCTGATAAATACAAAAAATTAAAGGAGAAACATCGGTAATGATGAAATAGTGTCCCGAATCCTTTAGAATGTATCAAGTTTCTTCTGAAATGACTCCTGTGAAGTCTCTTTTACCAGCTCGGTCGGAAAAGAACTTCAGAATTTTTCTACTCGCAAGAAGTAGAAGCTGTGTCAACAGTCAGTTTTGCTATGTTATGCCTCTAGTTTCTATGTAGTCCTCGTTGTTTTGGGTTGCGACTGAGTTTCCATAAGTCTTTCAGGGGATGCTCTGGAGTGTTCAGAAGGCTATGAGTCAGTAGTTCACACTTCAAAAGCCCCTATTCTGTCGGGGAAATGTTCACTGACTTTGGGCGGTATTTTATGAGGTTTGAACCGGAGTCCTCGAAATGATATCATGGCTCTCTTCACTATTCGTTCCAGAGTATTCCTTTACTTTTTGAAATAGGGATGAAACATCTAATTTCCATACTGTGAAAGGGGTCGGACACGGCTGTCAAAAACAAGGCGGAATGTTCTGCCATATAGCTGAACAAAAATGCTCTTCAATCTTAACAGTTCCAAGGTTTGCTTGAAGGGCATTATTATTACTGTTAGCGCAAGACTTTAGATCATATTTTACCAAAGCTTTTAGATATTTTTCAGCTTGTGATCCATTTAGAAGAGAGTTACCTTTGCATAAATAGTTCACAGCATATCAAAGTTGTACTATTTTGCACTTTGAAGCGTTATAAACAAACCTGTTGTTAAGCGCCTAACATTAAAGGTGCGCTAGGTTTCCTTGAAGAGGCGGTTTATCTTCTGGGCTGCAAACTTCGTTCCATAGTTAGGCATCGTCAGCGGAAAGTAATAATTCAGACGATTCTTGCTAGGGAAGGTCAGTTATATAATTTAAAAGGAAAGTGGTCCTAGTACTCAGCTCTGAAGGACTCCCCTAGAACATTCGGTGGCCCTTAAAAAAATGTCTATTATTTGGATATGAAGTTAAATAGTCTATTATGCTCGGCTTAATACCTAATAGTTTGAGCTTATTTATGAGAAGTATGTGAATGACCAAACAGAGAATTTCGGTATGTAAAAGTATATCACATCAACCTTGAATGTGAGATCAAGGATGTCCATCTGCACATAACAGTCAGAAAATTATTTATCCAGGAGTGTCCCTTCCTGAAGCCAGGTTGATAGGGGAAAAGTGGCTTATGGATCATATAGACCGTCATGTTCCAAGGATTCAATAACTGTCAAAGTTTTATAAGAAATGCTGCCGTCCAATAGCTTGAAGGCTTGTTGCATTTTTCCCCTCTGAAAATTGGTATGATGCGCTCTAGCCTCCAACTGTTTGGGACTGTGCCTTCACTTAGCGAATGTGGGCTCATGCTAAACGGAGTAGTCAGGACTGAGGCCTTTTTTCTCAGTACAGCGATGTGAACATTTTTCAAACAAGCCAAATCATGTTTGGTTAGATGATGACGTTCCTGATAAATCAGACCATAAACTTGAACCTCTATTGAGACTCTTATTAGGTTACAGGTAAAGTTCTTGTTCCTGCTAGTTTGAAGTGACCATGTATGCTGTCGTTGCTAGTTCATTTATATTCCACTTAGTAGCACTCATAGCATTGGAATAGTGCCGTCGCTTATGTCTCTGAGTTACTTGTAACTTCTGAGAACTGTTTGTCTGAAGAGCTGGTTTGTGGCATGTAAATGTTCTGTTCAGTAAGAGGTTTCACTAAGCGTACACATCAAGTTAAGGGCATGATTCCCAGTCCCCCTGATGAAGGTTTTCCCTAAAGCTGACACATCCAGCTGGTCAAAGCTCCAGCTCTTGTTGTTGGTGTAATGCTTTTGCTCAATCTAGCTAATAAAATTGAAGCCTATCACTGTATGGTCGCTTCTTTAGGGGGGAGCAAGTACTGAGAGGTTGTCAGTCAGAAATTCTTTGTTCATAAAGATGCAGCCCAAACGTGATGGAGTCTGATAGTCTCCCCATGAAGTTGCTGACTCCAAATATTCACTTCCCAATTCTTCATTGAGTTCTAAGGACCAAGCATCAGTAGAGTTATCACCGCTATTGTCTTAATAATGCAGATAATAAGAGAGGAAGGAATTTTTGAGATAACATTACGAATGAAGTCTTTTGAGAACCTCTACTAGTCATCTTATGTTGGCGTTGTAGATGCTCCCACATGATCGTGAAGTTCGACGGAGGAAGGAATTGTTCCTGTCTCACCGAAACATTTTGCTTGCGATCAAGGTGAATTAGACCTCATCATGGTTTCTGGTCCTGAAAGATGCATTGATGGGTGTATATTTCGTCAGAAGAGAAACGTTTGTCAGAAAATAATCTAAGTTTGATGTTTTCCTTTGTTATCTTACCTCAGACATCCACTCGCACGTTCTATCATCCTGGATCTTCTGGTGGCTGTGACATGACGCTTATAGAACCACGTCGCAACTGTTATATCCTGCTTACTGGGGTTTGGAGATGGAGTATTGAACTCCCCAGCTAGTAGTGTTCTGTTTAACACCAGAAATGTTAGCCGAAACATAGCATGAATTATCTTGTCTTTCCCGGTGTTGGCGTCTGCGGATAGCTGATAACATTTATCAAATTAGCATTTAAATGACATCAGCATGATGCTGTCATCTCGGTTAATAATGCACTGTGTGGTATTTGAGCTTTAACGGGGGTGCTAATGCATTTCGCCGCTCCACCTCTTTTTCTGTGTCCTATTATATGGGAAGTATGCTATGCCTTACTAGATCATCTCATTGTTTGTGGTGTTGCAGTATGGTCGCATTAAAGTTAGAATTATGTTCTGTGGATCCAAATTAGAGCACGTGTTTTCGATATGTACCGATTTACCACTTAGTCTTCGTATATTGTTATAGAGGCCCACGATAGTCGATCTCATCACATGATGCTCCCCTATGGAAGTATCTACGGATTTTCAAGCAAGCCGATCAAAGCATTTCGGCCAATTATCTGAAGACGGGCCGCTGGATGGCTTGCTACCTGTGAAACCTATCCTTTTGTCAAGATCTTAATTCAGGGGTCCCTTATCGTAGGTTGTTGGTCGAGTACAATTGGCATTCTTGTAAGTTACGTTTATCTTTCATGTCGTTGTCTTACTCACCAGGATCAGATATCATATCATCTGATGTGACTTGTGAGATCGTTTTTAGGGCTGTGTCAGTTTGGCTGTAAAGGTACCCATTTCAGAAATTGTACGCCATGTGGCTTACCGCTTCACCCTCCAACAGGGAGGCAGTAAGTCAGAGAATTTCGTTTGAGGTCTTCGCCTCCAATTTTAAGCGTTTCTGGGGCTATTATGTGGTCGTTTTGCTTCAACTCTCGCCTACAGCCTAATTATGCTGACGGATATTGAGATAACTCACTGGTGTGTGAGCTCGAATTGTGGGTCCAGTGATGGCATCTTTGACTGAGCTTGAATCGAATGACTTGAAGCTGCTGATGAAAACCGGCACGACTGTTTTATATAGGCCTTATGCTTTTGTTTTGTGAGTTTCGTTTGTCTATACATTGAGATCTTAGTTACGGTGAAAAGAGAGACAAACTAAGAATGTGAGACACGGTCATTGTTTTGATGTCTTTTTTCAACAATGTATGGTGTAAATGGGAGTTCTGGAAACTTATTCTCCCAGTCCGTTTTTGCTTACTAGTGATACTCTAATCATCTAGTCATCAGACTGCGACCGATTATCCGATGTTGTTTCCAGCTTTCTTATAATAGCGCCCCTAGAAAAAGGGGTTTTTGGTTTAATCATAACGTCAGGATAGAAAAGCCTACAGGTTCTGCTTGTCATACTGCAAGTTTAGGTGGCAGAAATATAATTGCACATGTTACAGTAGAGGGAATCATTTATGATATAAGATTTGAGGGAGGAAAATAATAATAGTGAAGGAAGGTGGATGTACACTACACTAGAACAAGACCTGCAAGACATACAAGTTACCTAGTTTTCTTTGACTGTCTTCTCGGGCTCTGTGATCAAACAGATGAATGTGTGCATCTTGAAGCAACCAGGAAAATGGCAACTGATCGAGACAGCTAGACCTACCACAGAGTTTCTCGAAATGAACATGGAAATGATCGTCAAATTTTTTAATTTAGATGCTGTGCGGTAAGGAGAGACGAACTGTTTTCCTTAAAAACGTCAAAACATTCGAAACTAACAGTGAAGATTGAATTGTTTCCTATCATTGGTGAGCGACCACACCAGTAACGACAGACTTCAAGAGTATCCTAAATAATGCTATCAACATTCAACACTTTTTACAATATTCACTCTTATGATCCGGAGCCTACCCAGGCCCACTTATTTATAACCTCATTTATAATCAAATAGATTCCAGGTAAGTCGTTTAAGTGATCGCAACGGTTTTAGTTGTTTTACTTCGCTTTGCTTTGAGCAACATTTTGAAAGCGTTGCTAGTGTAAAGTACTTCGGAATGTTTCTTCACAACATAATGCTAAATAGTTTATAATGTCCCAGTAGAGTGAGGACCTCATAGGAATAAAAATGAAACATCGATATTGCGATAGTAATGACTGAACTACAAGCCAGGTTGTGCAGATATTCAGCATAAATAATAATTTGTCATTTACCAAATTATTAAATTTAGTAGCGATATTCATCAAAAGCCAACACTCGTACAGATCATAGAGCTTCAGGAAGAAACAGTTAACCCAACACCTTTGTGCAAACGGTCACCTGCAATTCCATGTGAAGATATCTTAACTGAGCAGAAGCTAGTATATGTATTTTATGGTTTTAACATTTATTTAGAGAGAAATAACAGGAGTTGCAGATTTGAGCATGGTGTTCACCTTAGACCTTGAAATTGATACTGATCGTGTATCGGTAGCAAACTTCGGATCATATTTACCAAACTTGAGATATTTGAGGTTATCTAATAGTAACATTCACGCTGTTCGGTGAGTTTTGTGATTTCGTCTAATCATTTTCAGGGATCTTGGGACAAACCTTAACTCTGTGGAGGTCATTTGGATGCCTCGCTGTAATCTTGTCAGCCTAAATGGTTTATCAGGTTTTACGAAACTAGTAGAATTATACATAGCATTCAACGGAGTATCAGATCTAAGTCCCTGTGCAATGTTGGACAATATCGAAGTGTTGGATCTTGAAGGGTAATAATCTACATTTTTTCTGACATAATATAGCAATCTGATCGAAGATAAAACCAGTTTATCATATCTTCGTCTCTGTCACAACCTTACATCCCTCACTCTTGAAGGCAATCCCTTCGTTACAAAATACGGTGGGAAGATAGTAAGCAAACTTTTAGCTTTTAACGTTTTAGAGGTACAGGAAAATCGTACGGAAAGAAGTGCCACAGATAACCATTCTTGATGACATTCCAATACAAGATAATCCCAAATCACATTCAGGCGAGTATGATATTACCAAGTTCGACAGTGAATGGGAGTATATAGACATTTTATTGAAAGAAATTGGTTTGCTGTCTGTTAAAGCGGTATGTCAACTATTTCATAAAATTCTTACAATTATAGACATCAATTATTTGAATTTATTCAAGTTAATGTAATTTCAAATTTGAGAATAGGAAGTAAACAAACATAAATATTTCTGAAAAATATCCCCTTGCTTTTCCACCAGATGCCGTTTTTAGTATAATGTTTTATATCCTATACATACAATCTGTGATAAAAGATTGTGTGTTTTGTTTGCTCACATAACATTAGTAAAGTGTCTTCGTTGAAAGTATACATAATAGAAAAGTTGAGCGATCCAAAATAGATGTTTCGTATGTGATTGTTTGATCAATTAAACTATATAAATTCGTTTTGCATGTTACGTACAATAATTTTAAATTCTTAGAGAATTTTCCAGCAATTTGGATATGTATTCGGTCTAAATTTCATTTAATTATTTTATTTTGTGTAAAATTAATGTGTTTCGAGCTGAAGGTTTGCCCGTTGACTCTTCCTCTTGAAAGATTTGATTGAGTTATTATTTTTCTACTTCTAGTATATCATTCCTAAACAACTTATTACTTTCATGAATACAGATGTTTGACATATGTTTGTGCCTTAGTAAACAGAAAGATGTGTTTATATATGAATATTTGCCTTTTGTGAAGTTTTGAGGTCATAAAATATTTTCGTTTACGAACTGTCTACTACATTTTGTTAGGAAAGACTATAAACCATTTGTTCAGTCTAACTATTTTCCTCAGGATGGGAAAATCGATTCACTGCAAACCTAATGATTTAGAGGTTGAGAAGAAAACTTATCAGATATATGGTATCACACGGAATGTTGGAATCGCTCTTTCAATAAGGCGGTCAGTTCTATTTTATCTAGCTGCGAAGAAAGCATAAAAATTATAAAACTGAAATTTTGACATAGTAGACATTTTTATTCTAAATAAAATTAAAAGCTGATAACATGACATGGTGGTCGGGGTTGCCTATCGTGATGACACAAACGAGCTATATTGGCTGGAACTTATGTTCCTGAATGTTCTACCATGCCAGGCAGGTCGATTGGAGAACGATGAGACTAAAAGCAGCTACTCAAGATCTGAGGGTGAAGTCGTACTACTGACTGTGATGGAGGGGTGTGACAGCAGTAAGGTGTTTCCCTCGGACGACCAGCATCTGCAACAATGCTGCTTTCTCACAAGGAAGGAAGGGTTAGAAAGGTTGACCCTAAAAACGTCACACCCAACCCTACCTCATGGATTTTCGTCTCCGGTGGTAAGGGACGCCCACTAAGGGCTTAAAAAGAGCGGAGCTGATACTCTAAAAACCTTTCACAAAAAGGCCGTGCGTGACCGGCCTCAAGCAGTTGTCCATTGGGCTCTGTGGTCACATTCCTATATCCCACCGCACCGCTGATGCAAATGACGCGAGTTCACGAAACGTCATTCCTGGTCTCCTGAAACCTCGTTCTAAATAACATGTTGGAGCATTTAATGTCTGGATATTGTGTCAAACAGGACAACAGGCTTCCTTAGCTAGGACTATAGAATCTCGCGCCATCGACATATGCCGCGCCTCCGAAACGCGCACACAGTATCCTAGTAAAATTATTAATTTGATTTCATCTCGTCAAAATGAAGCTGCTCGATTTACTGCTGTTTCTCGTTCTGTCACTTGCGTAGGTAAAGCATCGAGTTCTAGAGCAGAACTAGCTCTCCTAGACTGGACCCCAGTAGACAGTCGCTTGTGTGCTTTTCTACTAAACTGGACAGTAATGATTCGGAAAGATAGAGACGCTCGCCGTTGCCTATTCGCTGCCTCCGCCTATGTTCCCACCGACTGCACTTCAGACGAGTTTTACAGAAAGCTTTCGGACCTCCTTCAAAAAGTTAAGCGCTCTGATATAGTTATAATGGCTGGTGACTTCAATGCTCAAGTAGGCAGACTAAGTGAAAAGGAAAGACACCTGGGTGGATCTTATGGTGTCGCAGCTCAGATGACAGACAATGGCAACCGTCTGTTGCACATGTGCTCAGATAACTGCCTATTTTTCTAGCAAACACTAACTTTAAGCATAAGCAGAAACATCTCTTTACCTGGAGACCCCCAAAGTCGTCCAAACGTTGGACCCAGCTGGATCACATTGCCATCAGGGAGTACAAAGAAGTACCAAAGAAGTACATTAACCTCATACAAGCTCTCTACTCGAACACCACTGGTCGAGTGAGAGCTTATGGCGAACTGTCACCGGAATTCTTTACTTCAAGTGGTGTCTGTCGGGGATGTCCACTCTCTCCATTCTTGTTTAATTTTATCATAGACGTGCTCCTAGAAATAACCTTATCGTCGTCTGAATTTTCAGGAGTAGACCTTTTACCAAGTGGCTCGCTTATTGACTTAGAATATGCCGATGACATAGTCCTACTTGGTGAAGACGCTGACAAAATGCAGTCTTCTGACCAACCTAAGCAACAAGGCAAGCATGTTCGGGATGCGGTTTTCCCCATCGAAATGCAAAATGTTGCTTCAAGATTGGGCTGCATCGGCACCTGAACTAGTGATAGGTAGTGAAGTAGTCGAGCGTGTTGACCGCTTCACTTACCTGGGGAGTCTCATCAGTGCCGATGGCCTGGTGACTGACGAAATCTCAGCTCGGATACAGAAGGCTCGACTGGCCTTTGCCAACCTCCGTCACTAATGGCGTAGGCGAGATATCCTTTTTCTGACTAAAGGACGAGTGTACTGTGCAGTAGTTCGCTACATCTTACTTTATGGCTGTGAAACATGGCCAATGGGAGTAGAAGATATTCGTCGATTATTGGTTTTCGATCATAGGTGTCTTCGAAGCATTGCTCGTATATCGTGGGACACCCGAATGAGCAACGTTGTTATTAGGAAACGGGTGCTAGGTAAGAATGGCAGATCAATAGATGAAGTGCTGAAACTTCATCAGTTGAGGTGGTTGGGACATGTGTTGCGTATGCCCAACCACCGACTGCCTCGACGAGCTTTGTTTCGTAGTGTAGAAATAGGTTGGAAGAAAGTTAGGGGCGGCCAGACCAAAACATGGCAGAAATGCATGAAGTCATTGACTAGTGGACTAAGCCATGTCGGTAATTGTCGACTACCTGGTTGGGGTCCGCGAGATGATAATAATCGATGGTTAGAGACCTTGAATGACATGGCTCAAAATCGTTCGCAATGGCGCCGGTGCATTCATTTTTTGTGTTCTCTCAAATCCTAATCTTATAGATTCTTCAACACCTCTAGTTTCGACTTTCCAAACTTTTCTCACTGAATCATACTTCTTGAATAATATCTTCTGATCCTAACCTCTCCGACTACTTCTAATACCTTTACTACCTCTTCTACTATTGGATTTGAATTGACAATTACATCTCTGTGCTGATGTGGTATGGCGACATGAACTGATGTACTTACGTACGAATTTCTGCGTTGTATCTCTCCTTCTGTCTATCTGTCTGTCTGTCTGTCTGTCTGTCTATCATGATATCTTATGTAAGCAATTAGTTAATTCAGTTTTTCCCAAATCAATCACAAATGTACATCCTGTGTAGATGGTCGTTTCGCTTATACAAATTATTGATGATTTACTTTATAATATAACATTTCTTGAATCAAATTCAGGCTGATAGAGTTACTTGTTGGAAAATATGAGGTTAAATCACTTTATTTACATGAAATGAATCTGAAATCATAAAGTTGTAAGACTTGAAACATCTTTAAAATTTACGAGGCTACTAGGTGGTATATTAGACTAAGGTTCATAATTCTAGAATAATCATATTATTACTAATAAATAACCGATGCACTTAAAGATAAAACTCAAAATGCTGAAAATGAAAACAAATGAACTTTGCATCAATATCAGTAAGTATAATATATACATGAGAAATGCGTGAAGCAGGACCATAATATTGAATGTATGTTGATAATATAAACAAAAGCTTAAATAGTTTTGCAGCTGATCAGATAAATTCTCATTAACAGTCAGAAGTTACTATAGCCTCGATCGATCGGAAAGAACTTACTCATATATCACACATATTAAGATAACTATTAATCGAAGGCTTTATCTACTGTCTTTATTTGCTTCGCTATCATATTCTAGTATCAGAAGGATGTTTTAGAAGAGGATTCTTAATAAATTGTTCATATTTCTTTAGAAAAATTTTATAGATGGAGACAAATCAAGTTATCGTCTGGCTACAGCAGAAACAATCGATGCAGGCCGTTCAACTTTAGGCCTAAAATCAACTTCAGCATTGAAACAAAAGTATGAAAAAAACACTTCACAATTTACTGAACCTAAATTCAGTCAAAGAAGCTTAAGGCTTTCTAGAAGTTCATCAGTAATGCTGGATAATGAAGGTGAGTGTGAGATGTTTTCATAGTTTTTTTCACAATATTTCACTGTTTGACCCTTATTTACATGTCAACTGTTTCTATGAATGATGGTTTTCGATATCGGCTTCTCTCTCTCTCTCTCTCTCTCTCTCTCTCTATATATATATATATATATATATATATATATATATATATATCAGCAACAACGAACTGTGGGAGAGAACAAGTCAGATTCCAGTGGAGGAGGAAATCAGGAAGAAGCGGTGGAAGTGGATAGGACATACACTACGAAAAGCACCCAACTGCGTCACTAGACAAGCCCTCACATGGAACCCTCAAGGCAAAAGGAAAAGAGGAAGGCCAAGGAACACACTACGCCGAGAAATGGAGAAAGATATGAGAGGAATGAACAAACATTGGACAGAACTGGAGAGGGAAGCCCAGGACAGAGTTGGTTGGAGAAAACTGGTGGGCGGCCTATGCTCCATTGGGGGTAACAGGCGTAAGTAAGTAAGTAAGTAATATATATATATATATATATATATATATATATATATATATATATATATATATATATATATATATATATATATATATATATATATATATATATATATATATATATATATTTCATTTTAAGGAGGAATTGCACTAAGATTAAAAGCAATCTAAAGATTTTTAACTTGGTCATCACTAGCATATTTAACTGACAGAGCTTTCTTATCGGAAGTTAAATATTATTATTATTATTATTAATAATATTATTATTATCTGTTTAGTTAACTACGATGAAGAGGAGCGTGTTTCTGAACTTACAACAGGCAAAATTATATGTGGAGGTATTAGTTCTGCTTTACGTCATCGAAGATCATCAGCCAATAAAAGTGACATTGAAAAAACTCGATCAACTTCCGTGAGATTAGAAAGTAAAAGTGGAACTAGTTCAATTTTGGACGACAATGGTAGATGTAAAGTGAAAACTGAAAATGCCAATCAAACTGAACCTAACAGCCAACAGGATGACAAGGTTACAGAAGTTTTAGAGCGTGAAACAACTATGAAAGAAGAATTATGTTTACGTAAGGAATGTGAAAATGTTTTTCAAGAACTTGCAGAGTGGAGAAAATTGCATACAGAGTAAGAATGTTAATCATAGTTATAGACGTTTTTAACACTGATATGACTAACTTTGACTTGAAGCAGAATAGTAGTTATAATGATACACTGTTACATAGATGAATGATATCACCTCCCACTAGATCTTTTTAAGGCTCTGCTGTAATTCATGTACATGTATATTTATATTTACATTGAAAAACATAACTCTCATTGGCAAACGAATCTTAATAAGTCTATAAGTATAGAAGTAATACAGATAGCATCAATTCGACTAAACATTTCCAGTTTCCTGGATACGAAGTTTATCACTTAGGGTGTATGCAGGTTAGATTTTATTTATCTCTGACTCAATTTTATTAAGAATCATTTTCACCAGCTATAGACTTGTTTTTTATAAAGTTTCTGTGCCTCATTTTCTAATCTCCAAATTACTGAATGATCTTGTAGGATGTAGAGATGTACTTATTACTTTGTGAGAAAGATAGGATCTTTTTTATTGCATCTATTCATGACTAGCTCGAACAGATATAGGTGAATTCATCTGTACTCCTAGGTCCAAAGTGTTCACTGTTGATTGAATCGCTAACCATCACGACCAGATTTAGGCAAACGATGTCTACAAAGAATATCCCATCATAGTTAGAAATAGCCCTTAGTCCTACAAAGCCTAATCAACTGACTCGTTAAAATGTCAAAAACCATTATGTATGATTACTGTCAATGGTTAAAAGTTATTTTCTTCCATGACTTTATCTTTTCCGACAGAGAGATTAGTTACAGATGTCAACTGAGTACCAAATATACAAAAATAGTTTCAAAATCTTCTAAGTCATAAGCAGAACCCTAGTTAATAATCATACAAGAAGCATATTACGGATAATAATTTACGCAACTTTTAAAAACTTCTTTTTGTGACGTTTTCTGCGATCTTGATCAAGTAAATATTGTAGGATCCAAATTGAGGTTTGGACTGAGGAATAACTGTCTAGGTAGTTTAGATACGGGCTGTTGCCCAGTTGAAACCGAAACAAGTGATTTGGGTAAATAATGGTTCTCATATTCATCATAAATATACATTTACATCATTATCTAAAGAGTATTACCACTCAGTTATTCCACCAACAATTGTTCAATTAATCAAATCCACAGCAACAATAAATGTTATTCTATCACTCCTGGATAGACCAGATTCCTTTAAAAGATAATATTCGGTTGCTTAATAACACAGAGTGTTTCCTATTCTGGAAGAGTGCTTCAATCCACAATCAAAATGCACAATTCCAGTCAAAGCAAGCAACCGACACAGTCAGAAGAGGAACAAATCAATATGGCTGTCGTCATGACTAAGTATCAGCCTAAACAACATAATACAGTTCAGAAAGAAACATAGAAACTCAGTGAAGGCAAAAGAAATAGAAACTATAATAAAATACAAATATTACCATCTCAAAATGGAGTCGAACAGACTGACAAAATGTACAACTGAAGGAATCACTAAGAACAAATTACAAATCTATTCATGGCGGGATTTTCACAAACAAAACCTTCAAAAAATGGATCTTACAACTATCAATTTTTATGAACAATAGATTGTATCTGTTTAGTTCACGGGTTGTTATCAAATCCTTCTTACTAAGTATAATATCTTATTACCTTCAAATAAATTAGAACAATGTGTTGCATAACAAGTCAATACTAAAAATACAATGATGTCTATTTCAATAAAATGCATTTTACCAATGTTGTATACAACTTGTAATTTACGAAATATTCAAGTAAATAAATAAACATCTCAATTACTCAGCTTCATTTACTAGTGACTCTGATGTTCTGTTTCCAGTTATTATCGAATTCACTTGTCTTAAGTATTTTTGGAGGTAACTATTAGAAATGTACGGAACATAACTAGTATTCTTATTTGTGAAAGTGGTCACAAATGCTTATTTTACGTCTATATATATATATATTAAGATTTTTAAGTTACACATTTTTGAAACCATGAATTGATCAATGTTAGACCATCATTAGAAACCTGGAAGCACTGGACGGCCGTTTCTCCCTGGTATGGGACTCATCAACAGTGCCCATTCACGACTCCTGCACCCCGCAGGATTCGAACCCGGGACCTTCGGTATTGTGCGCAAACGCCTAACCATCGGACCACTGGGCCGGCATCTAACGGTGTTAATGTCTAACTTGATCAATTCACGGAGTTGCGCAACCTCATACACAGTCTTCGGTAGTTACTGTCTACATCTGAACAGGTTGAACTTCACTGTTCACGTCTTCCCACTAGAAACTCGGAGAAGATTCCTCACGAAGCTAGTCACTAGTGAGCACAGGTAATTCGCATTACGGGGTTGTGAAGATTGTTAAGTTACACATTTTTGAAACCATATATATATATATATATATATATATATATATATATATATATATAATATGAGAAGGTTAAAATTTCTAGTTTTTGCCTCATTAATTTCTAGATCTAAACTACATAATTCAAATAAAAATACAACAAGAAAAAAGGATAAATCTATGAAAACAGATTTAGAATGTAAAAGAATCATTTCATCACCTGATAGCGATGAAAATACACCAAATGACCTTGTAAAAGAGTGCAATAAAGATATGATCATGTTAAATAAACCGCTGAATAATTACTATCATCAAAAATCAAATATAACAAATAAAAAAAAGTCCGTGAAATCTAATGATAATCGAAATTGTGAAAATATTGTACCGATGAAAATGTCAAATATAATGAAACAAAGTCAAATCGATATGAAACATGTAAGTTTAACCAAATACTATTTTTTCAATATTATGATAATTATGCTTGAAAAATTGCTTTTTTTCATTGTCCAAGAATACGTTAGAAAATGTTGAAATTAAATGATTACATGTGGTTGCACTTACGATTCATATGTTAATGATTTATATTTCTCAATAGATCACGTACAAATCGATGATACTTTTATTTACTTTTACTTACGCCTGTTACCCTCATGGGAGCATAAACCATCGAACAGCATTCTCCAGTCTACTCTGTCATGAGCTTGTCTTTCCAGTTCTATTCAATTTTTGTTCATTCTTCTGACGTCAGTCTCCATTTCTCTGCATCATGTGTTCCTTGGTATTCATTCCTCTCTTCGTTTATCCTTGAGGGTTTCAAGTGAAGGCTTGTCTTGTGACACAGTTGTATGTCCTGTCAGCTTCCGGTGATTCTTCCTGATTTCTTCCTTTGATGGAATTTTGGTTTGTTCTCTCCCATGGTAGGTTGTTGTCTATGGTGCCTGTCGAACGGATCCGAAGTATTTTGCGTACACAACTGTATCTTCAGGAGAAATCGACTATTATATATATGTATATTTAAATTATATATTATATATTCTGGTTTTAGAAGTAATCCATTTCTTTCTTCAACTGAAATCATGAATAAGATTATATTTAAATTTAATATCAGACAGTCAACGACTAATTTATTTCATTCAAATATGCTAGCTACAAATGATTTCATCATCTAAAATTGAAGTTACTACATTTAGCTACTCACTATTTGTGAGTAGTATAGATAAATTTTGAAAAAATAAAGTTTCACTATTTCGGAATAATTGTGAAATATTCAATCCAGATAATTTATTGCTTTCCATTTGAATTATTCATAATTGTTAAGGTAAGTAGTATAAACACTACAATAAACTGACACCATTCATATATTATTATAAGTTATACTCTAATCTTGAACTTTATTTAAATGAAATAAAGTTATTGTTTGTTTTGTTTAGTCTATCTCATTCTAGGAAAACTAATTAAAGGTTCATTAGATAAAATTTATCGATGTAACACTCATTTCATGACACAGTACTTACAAGGTCATTTAAAATCGCGCCATACAATTCGATAATTCTTGAAAATTTTTTTTGCAACTAAATGAATGTTTTATGTTTTTAAAAGAAAGTGTAGTGAACGAGAACACAGGTGGGGCAACCGAATTGTATTTACGAAAATTACAGAGTTACTCAGTATAATCGGAAAACCATATCGTAAATCGTTAATTCGCAAAATATTAGTTCATCATATCAAACTGGACTGTTCCTGTTGCCAAACATCAATCCATTGTCACTATTCATGCGTTTCATACAAATTACATTGTGTTCCCACTCTTCCTTTTTCTTGATCTTCCCCCATCTTCTGCTGCCAGACATTACGTTTTCACTCACGTCATATACTACTTATAAGTAGCTCGCACCACAAAAGTATATTGTTTATTTATGTTGTGTTACAAAAAAGGTATTAGTTCGAATTTTTATCTTGTATTTATACATTTATGACATAATATTCTATAGAATATAGATTGATTTATTAAGTTCAATTATTGCTGAAAACTATCACTGACCTGATTATTGGTCTTCTATGAGAATCATCTAAGCACATGAACTCATTAATGCGGTCTTCTAGTAATGTCTCAAGGATTTAAGAGGTCAGTTTAAATAAAAAAATTCCCAGTGGTAACGTTTTTGTTTAACTATGATATCTTGTTTCCTGAAACTCGAACATCTAAGTACATGTTAATTCGTGAAAAACTCAAAGTATATTAATTTTGGTGATCGTAGATTTATTTAGGTATTCTTTCGGATATCTTTTCCTAAAAGTTTCGAACCAAACGAAGAGAGACCATTGAACTGATTACTTGGTGAGTGATGAAAAATCCTAAATATATAATAACGTGTTCATTCACTTTCTTTGAAAATTTCGCTCATTGGTAGCGGGGATGAAATTTTTAATATCAGGGATAATAATTACTTTTGAGATGGTGGCGAAAATTTATAGCTCAGGTGGATGATTGTGGTGGTGTTACGTTCTCTGAGCTGGATATTGTTTTGGTTGTGAAGCTTTCATTGTTCTTCTGCTGAACAACATTATCAGCAGCACAAACTTCAGATGGAAGTGAAGTAGTCGGATATCTCCCCTTTTGACCTGTAGTTTGTTCTGTTAACCTCAATCTTGATTGGTTTCTGTTGACCTTAAATCTGTCGTTGTTTGCACCTTTGTTTTGATTGTATCTCCCTTTTGATCAGTTTCTTGATTCTGTCACCTATGACTTTTCTGATTGGTTGATAAATTGGGTCAATGTCGATGTGTTTATTGATTACTGATTGACCTGAGTGCCAAGCTTCTAAAAATTCTCCAATGTTCTTTGTCCTCCCCCTATCCAGTATTTCCACATTTTTCCAATGGAATGTATGTCCACAATTGTCGGTGTATATTGATATAAGTGAAGCGTTGTCGTTGCGTTTGACTGCTAATTGATGTTCACGTAAACAAAGCTCAAAAGGTCGTCCACTTTGTTCTACGTAGTTTGAGCAGTTTGAGCAATTTATTTTGTACATGATATTTGGTTTTTCTTCCTTTGTCATTTTGTCCTTTGGTCTACATAGTATTGATCTGAAGTGATTTTGTTGGTTTGTGTGCCACACCTATTCCAAATGGTTTCAGTAGTCGAGCTGTATGCTCCGATATGTCTGTTATGTATGGTTGGATGATCCGTTTATTGGTTCCTGTATTTGATTTCGCTTCTGTCGATGTTTTTTGATGAAGTTACGTGGACAGCCATTGTTTTGGAAGAAATTCGAATACTTCACTTCTGCTATCTGAAGTTTGTGCTGCTGATGATGTTGTTGTTCAGCAGAAGAACAATGAAAACTTCACAACCAAAACAATATCCAGCTCAGAGAACAAAACACTACCACCACAATAATAATTACTGTATTCATAGAAACTTACATTTAAGTTTGAATGAATAGTTTCACATTAGTTAGGTGTGTGTCGACTTAATGTGTATGACTAGAAGAAGCAAAGCTTTATTTGCGAAAAATCTCAATGATTAAACTTTAGGTAAAACTAACGATTTGCTCCGCAATGGGATTTAAACTTTTCCAAAGAAATATAGTTGGGATTTTTAAATTAGTTCACTGTTGAAAATGAGAATTGTTGTGATGCTCGTAGGATATTTTTATGTGAACAGTGAAGAAAAAAGTGTGTTAGTATTAGATTTACTGTGAAATCACTGGATTAGTGATTTTGGTTGATTGAGTGAGATTATTTTTTTTCATAGATGATATAAATTAAGCATGTCACAGCATGTGTAAAATAAAGATAAGTAAACAAACAAATGTTTGTGTTGTTATATTTATGTTGGTTAAAAGTTGAACATTCAACAGATTTTGTGAGGTAAATCAACTTGATTAGACGAATTTTACTAATTATCAGTCATCATGGAACAGTTAATGACAATTCATCTTTCCTATTGATACTGTTTGGATTTGGTCATATGTTTAAGGCTTCAGCTGTTATTGTTTCTTTTGTATGAATGAAAACCTTCTGAGAAGATCCTTATGCCATGCAATTCAATTGTTTGGTCAAGTTCTATTGTGATTGTAATGATATTAATGACTTGTTCACTAGTTCTTTTCAAATGTTCTCAGAATTTAGGAATGTGCTTTTGTAGGGTTCGTCACTAGGTACGCTTGAAGCTATTACGAGTTCACCTTAGTCGATAAACGCAAACGAGACTTTTACCAGCGTCCAGGTAGGCTACCTTGAATCCCAAGCTGGAGTAAAAAGGCTTTGTAAGCGTAGAAAGTATATCCTACAAACACACAGCAATCACAGTGCAATCAAGCATACAACTCTCGTTTATTTATACATCATAGAAACGTCCTTGGGACAGTTACGAAAATAGCACACTAAAATACACAGCAGCAAATCATAGCCATGGATTTTCCTGATGGGAAATGAAATCTCAATGCCAACTGATCAGCCCATGCTGGCAAACGTGAACTCTAAAATAAAGCATTTAACAAGCGAGTTTTGGGGATCTAACATCCCCAACAACTTTCAACAAACTTTGTGTTCGTTCACCCTCACATTCAGTTGTATTGATGTATCAGCTATGTATGTACAACATTATTGTCATTACATCTGATCTCATCTACACAATTTCGTTGTTTCTTCTTTGGCATTAAGTTGTGAATTCTTGTTAGTTTTTAGAGTATTGATTGTTAGGAGAAATAATACTCTTCTATTGTGATGATTTAAAATCTCACTGATGTTAACTGAAGAGGATCAATAAAGTCCTGACCTATTCCATAGGACTGAGTCATGTTGGTAGATGTAGACTACCTGGTTCGGGTACGCGAGACGAAAGTAACCAGCGGTTAGAGATCACGATGAATGACATGACTCAGAATCGTTTGCAATGGCGCAGGTGAATCCACTCTTTGTGTTCTATGAAATTTTAAGCTTCTGGATTCGTCAGCACCTCTATCTTTCTCTGCCTAAATTTATCTCACTGAATTATACTTCTCGAATCATATCTTCACTCCCTAATCTTCTCCATTACTGCTAATACTTCTATTATTGCTATGACTGTTGGATTTGAACTGACAGTTGCGTCTCTGTTCTGATGTGGTATGGCAATCTGAACTGATGTATGTACGTATGAAGTTCTGTGTTGTATCTGTCTGTCTTTCCATAGGTTAACCCTTCTTCTCATTGTTTTGATCTTCTTTCTTGATTATTCATTTATCAAGTTAGTCGGATAACTATTGATCGATGAACATGAATAAATTTATTTCAATTTCTTCGTCATTTGGTTCAGTGGCACGTTTTCGAACTCTATTTCCCACAGTCTTGTCAACTAAGGCGACGACAGTTGTTATGATCACACAGGTGTGAAACATCTCAAAAAATCGAATGATAAAAACATAAATATAATGAAAGGGTTTTTT